ACGCTTACATAATACGTCTTAAATATATAATAATTTTGTTATTATTGCATATTCACACTAAACATGCTTACAAAATGTTACGAACGGAACATATCGACGCTTGAAAGGCAAACGTGACTAAGCGACAATGCGTGAACTTTACAGTAGACTAATTTAAAGTTGAAATACCTGGAAAAAAAATTATTTTAACGAATCTAGCTGTAGTATAATCTAGCTAGTAGCTGTAGGATTAAAATGATTTTAATAGACCTAGAAATATATATTTTTTGCGCATCGAATATGGTTATTGCCTATCATTTATGTACAAAGCAGTTATTGTCGCTTAGTCACGTTTGCCTTTCAAGCGTCGATATTTTTAATCATTTGCACTTGTCTTTTATGCCACTGAAGTGTATTAAAACATAAGATTAATGATTTAGCATTGTGTCCGTTCTATGGTTTCGATGGAAATTTTGAATAATAATATGTAATTGCAAAATACAATTCGTGAAGCGTCAAATACAAAAGAATATACGTAGGAAATGTTTTTATTGCTTTCTCTTATTATTCGAAAGCAACTTTTTAAACTATTTAATTAATAAATGAGGAATAATTAAGAGAAATTTACAATTAACCCTTTGGCTGACCTGTAGATCACCGTTACCCTGCATGGCTCACTGAAGTAATTATATCCATACTAAGCGTCTGGATTACTTAATTTTACCTTCGAATAGATTCATTCTCGGTAACTTCGGATTCATCTTTCCCAGAGTTTACTTAATATTCCGGTCAATTAGTAACAAAAATCGACATAATTGTCATAACATGACAATGACAACGGCAATGGCAACTGGCAGTGAAAGGGTTAACCTTATTCAATTTAATTTAATTAACCGAAAACGATATTGGGTATCACTATGAGATAGTATGATTTGTATCAAAAAAAAAAGAATATCAAAATCTCAAACTACCCTATAAAAACATCCCAGGATATAAAACGTAATGCAAGAGCAGAACTGTACAAAATCTTACGACTAAAAACTACAACTAGTCGAATCTAGCGCTAAAATTATGCGTTATCTTTGGCGAATACACTGCTTATGGTACCACAATGGCACGCGGGGCCGTTGAAAGATACATTAACCTCTGAAATAGAAAGCCGTGTGACATTTTGGAAACTTTAGGCAGCGGCTTGGCTCTGCCCCTGGCATTGCTGACGTCCATGAGCGACGGTGACCACTTACCATCAGGTGGGCCGTATGCTCGTCTGCCTACAAAGGCAATAAAAAAAATAAAATAAAAAAAAAACTTGCGGGAGCTTAGAGAGTGAATGTGATATGAATTGTTTTATTTGTTAACCTAATGTAGTTTTTATTAAGTGTTTAACATCTGTGTATAAACACGAATAAAGGAAACAAAGCCAATGGACGTATCCTCTCGGGTTCTTCTAAAAAGTAAACTGAACAAGTAAATAACTACGATATTACTGAGACTTTATTTCATCACATCGCATACCTATCGCTTCATATATTTCTAGAATACAGATATCTATAATACAGAATATTTATGTATTTAATAATTGAAGATTTTTTTTTATAAACTGGCAACAATGGTGATGCAAAAAACCGATTGCCATATAAAAAAATCGTAGGGCTGGCACTTTCAGTTTCTTGACGGTAGCTTACGCTGTCAAATATTAACTTTCAAATGGCATTGGAACGTACAAAAATACATAAAAGAACTTAGTGAAATACATAACCAATCTGGAATAATCTTAGCACAACGCAAGCGTAATGGAATCGAAAGACGAACTAGCTTAGACTAAATTAGAAAATAAATTCAATTAATTAGTTTTTATTTTCAATCGATCAACAGCCCTTGTGCCATACTATACAATACGCAAATTGATGTCTTCAAAAGAAACAAAAAAATAACAAAAAAAAACCCTCGTTGTAAATGTTTACAAAAACTATCTCGTTTTAATATTTAATAAAAAAAAAAAAGAAATATGCCTTATTTTCAAATAAATCGACTGTAAATCCTTAACAACTATTACACATACGCAACTAACTAGTTACAGAACCGTTATAATTTATTATTTAACCGTTAAAATTAGCTATTATTAACGCTTTTTATGGCGAGGCTATTTTTAAACGTTAATAATAACTGCTTTTTTAATAATTTAATACAATATAAGTGGTGTTATGGATAGAGCAGTACTTTTTTTATATAGAGATTAAACGACTACTTTCATTAATTATTATAAAAGAATGTTTATAGTTTTTCCTCTAAATGGCAGTAGTTTTAAGTATATTTACATAAAATATTGAGATAAAATTACACACACACAAACACACATTGGAATGGTTAAATATATTATGTACATAAACTCAAATATAAAACTTATGAACAATACATTGAATTTTAGGAAAATCTTCGTTCACAAGTCTAATGCATTGGTGGTAGATTATTATTTGCAACTCTATATTGTATGTTATATTATTATAGTTTAGTCTGCTCAGTCTCGACACATGGGCGCTAATGTTGACCCAAGATTTTCAGGTTCTTTGCCCAAATTTATGTCCAGCTCAATAAAATTGCGAGAACCCGTTTCTCTCAGTCATTGAACTGTTTCCAGAGAGACGTGAAAAACTGCTGGTGCTTTTAAGCCGTTTAAACATTTCAATCAATTTAACATATTCAACATTTTGTAAACTTTTTTGTACGATACGCCTACAAAGAAACCTTTATCAATGAAGATTTTCAAGAAAACTGTTATTTCAGAGTTTGCGAAGGAAAAAAAAAGATGTATTTCTTAGCTCTTTTCTAAAAAAGAACCATTTTGTTTGAACAAAAAATTTCATAAAATAGCAGTATCTATCAAAACAAATATAACATGCTAAATATATATTTTTTTACAACAAAAGTCTGGAGATTCGTTTATATCCACGAAATCACATGGAATTTATATTTACACACTAAAAATACACACATACAAATAAATATAAATATATCCTATATGTACAATGCATAGTAACTAGACAAAATTTACGGGGATTCACACTATAAATAGCTACGAATAGAGTTATACGTTATTTTTTGCGTTCAAACGCTATTTTCACAACGTCAACACGTTAAATTTTTATATTAGCTATTGTAATAGTTTAATAGCTGATCTAATTCAACAGTGGCACTAGTCATATTTGGCCGTTTGAAATACCAGGCGCGAACACTTGTGCGGGGAAACTTCATTTGCGATTCCTCAAATAAGTAACTAGTGGGTAGTTTCATTACTTGTGTCACTATAAAATTGAATCAACAAACATATTGTTACTTATTTCCTAAATTGAGCTAAACTCGAGTCCAATAATACAGCCACGGTATGAATAAGTCACACATTTTAACTTTTTATTTTATCAATATTATTATACGTTCTACTTTGGACATATTAGAATTAAAATTAATTAGGAGGCTGTGTATAGTGAAATTGAAATACTAAAGTTTGACTCACTGAATAATCAGTGTTAATAACGTCAACGTTTTCAATAACTAATAACTGTTTTGAAAAATTCCTGATACCCACCCTAAAAACATATAAGATTTTCAGTAAACTGAATATAAAATAATTTAATTGTAAATAAGGAGAGTTTGAGTAACACTGACTCTATACTATCCGTGAAACAAATAGCAGATTACAATTTTTTTTTTTTAAATCTTAAGAGTTAATTCACAATTACAATATTACACATATAGAAACTTTAATTGTTTTATTGCCATCTCGTAAATTTTTACAAAGGTGATTGTTTAGGCCTGCCTCACTAGCTTTTAAAATAGTTACTAGAAAATCATAAAGTGGATATAATATACATATAAATAAATCATCAAAACATTGTTTCATATTCAAAATTAGACCAAAACCACAATTAAGATGCGATTAAATTTGAGCAATCAATTTAGTTTAAAATCGAATAAAAATCGATTTTATTCTTATAAAATCGTATTATAATCGCGTTGTCCACTTAATATTTTAATGTTGTATGGTATTACTCGAAAATTTATAAAATATGATTATTAAATATGATTATTATTAAGCTATGAGGTTTGTCTGCTGTAGAAATTTATTGTTTATATCTCGAGATTATTTTGAAGATATTCTAGTTACTGAACAAGTCGACATAATTATTTACGTTGAGCACTCGCTACGACAATCAGAATAAAAAGTCGAATTACGTCCCGCCCAATGGCACGTCCTTGACAATGTCAACGAGTCATTATAAACAACTTTACTAATAAGTTATAAAATCGTAGATATAATTTTAAAAGTGATATAAAATCTCTTGATTCCTCGATCAATGAAATTTTTTATTGCAATCGATTCCCTAACATTAAGTTTACTTTTATGAAAATTATTTTCGTTCGTTCAACTGGTACGTAATGACATACTAATATTCAAATTTGAAAAATTGATAAGCATTTCGAATCGATAATAGTTTCGTTTCGTGTTTAGTGTTATCGATAAGTTCTTAAGAAAAATCGATAAAGTTGAAGTATCGATTTTGATTTTTCTTTTCAGTCATTTTCGAAACATTCTTTTCTAGTAATCACAACGTCATTATCTATCTCGCTCTTGTTGAATAGTGAAACTTCAAACAAAATGTATAAATTTTTTGAAAATATCTTATTTAATTCGTCTTAGTTTGTAGAAGTGACGACCTCGTTCGTTGGTTAACATTAGTCGACATTATTTATCGTTTATGGTACGTCACTTACACATACGTTCCTCAGAGTTCTGTGACGGCGTACAGATCACGTTGCTCCCGCATCTCACGCGGGTCGCGTATCTCGCGTGAGTCGCGGTCGCGCAGGTCGCGTTGTTCGCGCATGTCGCGGGGCTCGCGGTGTTCCCGCCCCTCGCGCGGCTCCCGCTGGTCGCGTGCATCACGGAGCTCGCGCGCATCTCGGGTCTCGCGTGCATCTCGGGGCTCGCGCGCATCTCGAGTCTCGCGTGCATCACGTGTCTCGCGCACATCGCGGGTCTCGCGTGCATCGCGGGGATCGCGCGGCTCCCGCTGGTCGCGGCGCCGGTGCGGGGCGGCGGGCTGGGTACGGCGCGGACGCTGCAGAGAGCGGTACTCGAGCGCAGCGGCGGAGAGGGGCTGCGGCTCGGGGCGGCGCGAAGGTCTCACCGTGGCGTACTTGTCCGCAGCTGGCGCGTGAGTGGAGCCAGTGGAGGGGTGAACGGGAACAGAAGAGGGAGTAGGAGCAGTAGGTGCGGGAGAGAAAGTAGCGAGAGAGGGGGTAGGGGCCGCGGGGCGGGGGCGGGACGCGCGGGGACCGAACGACGCGTACTTAGGGTCGAAGCGATTCAAGCTGGTCGCTCGACCCATAGTAGCTGAAATGTTCAATTAATTTTTAACAAAAAAAACATATGCCAAGCAATCAATAGGAGGTGACAAAAGATATGATTGTCACAACAGAAAAAAGGTATTTTGTAAGATAGTTAACCTACAAACTGCAACCTCCACAGACCACATATTTCTTCTTCTTCAAACGTTCGATCATTTGTGAACAAGTGTCATTCATATACATAAATACTTGCAACAATCGGTTCGCTTGCATAGCTGGAACTACACCGAGCCCCTTTCACACACGAGGAAAAAGCTTCGGTCGCGCTCGCAAAATTCAGAATCTGCCTTCGACACAACTAAAGCTAAAGACAGAACCTTCAACTCCTTTGCTAAAAGTACTAGCATAGGAAAATGATAGGTATATTTATGACGTTAAGGTTCATGATCGTAGTCAAGCCACGAAAGACCCCAGCGAGTGGTCCAGTTCCGTATAGGCACAGTGACGAGGGAGACACGTACCGGCGTTGTGTTCCGGGGGGAGCGCGCCGCCGCCGGGCCGGTCTCAGTAGAAGTCGTTGCTCTCCAGCGTCTTGCACTGCTTGCTGAGGGTCGCGTACTTGCCGTTGTGCGCTCTACCCAGGGTGGCGGCCCCGCCCAGCGCCGCGGCCCCCGCCCCGCCCCCCGTGGCCCCGCGACCCAGGGTGGCGCTGCCGGACATTCGCGACCTGCCGCCACACGGGGAACTGTTACAAGTGGAGAAGTGTTTGGGGGAGGGGTCGAGCTGGGTTTGTGCCGGGTACACCCCGAACGGAACTATATCTTAATAGCATAGGATTTAAGCACAGAGTCGTATCGCTCGATGCCAATACAACGGACATCTTACTCATTAAGCGAACGAGGCCACATTTCCAGGGCAAGACTAACTAGGGGCAGATTGTAACTATACTTGAGACCTTAGAACTTATATCTCAAGGTTGCAGATGTCTATGGGCTCCAGTAACCACTTAACACCAGGTGGGCTGTGAGCTCGTCCGCCCAAGAAAGCAAAAAAAAAACAGTTCCGTTGGATTGGCGCGTACCCGGCACCGGTGAGGAGTGTGATGATGTGATGGTTACCTGGGACGGTGCGAGTCGGCCAGGGTCAAGTCCATGAGCTGCACGGCGGCGCTGTACGAAGGGGGTTTCCCGTTGGGGAAGGGGGCGGGTCGCGGCAGGGAGCGCGTGGCCGCACTGGAGCCCGACGACAGGAACGGAGCCTGCTCCTCGCCGGTGCCGCTGCGTCTGTACCAAGGACTTCGATTACTGGTGATTGAGATGCATGTGGAATCCAACCGATAACGCGACCGTTAGACGTGTGATGGAAGTCTCTATAGCAATATAAAACAGCTACCCCACAAATTATAACTATACGTGATGAAGGGAACACTGGTAGTGTTCAAATTCCGAAGACACCAAATTTCTAATTTTATTACTATTTATATTAACTTTACCAAATTTTCAAACAAAATACGTACCGAACACATGTCGTAGTGAAAGCATAACAATGTACAATAAAATAAAAAAATTACGACTACTGTTGAAAAACCTGATTTTCCTCCTAGTGTTAGCTATTTCACCAACTCCCAAGTCAAAGGCATAGCAAAAAAAAAAAAAAAAAAAACAATAAAAACAGTTTCGCTTGTATACTCTGTGGTCGCCGACTGTAGAAGTCGAGACAGGACTTTTTGGCGGGAACGCGAGGAGTGAAGTTGTGTGATTTGTTTTATTTTGTCTATTTAGTGTTTCTTCAGGTTTAAATGTGTAATAATGGTGATTTCTTTTCTTCAGGTTTAAATGTGTAATAATGGTGGTTTATTAACTGTTTAATATCTGTGAAAGTGCACAAATGTGGGAAAATAAAACAAAGCCGCTAGACGTAACTTCTCGGGTACTCCAAAAAGTCCACTGAAAAAATCTTAGTAAATGACCACAATTTTACTGAGATTATATTTCATCCCATATCATCTCATCTTTATTTCATTTCACTCCATATTATCATGTTTCATAAAAATAAGAATATAAATTAAAATAAGACATGACCTAAAGGTCTTAGTTACCAGGTCATAAAATCTAAAAAAAAAAAAAGTAGAAGCGGAGACTCAGATGAGCGTGAGTGATGTGTGTCCGCACGTTTATTTGCTTACATACAAACAAACTCACTTTGTGTTGATATAGATCCAAGCGTGAGAATCGACCAGGACGATTGCAGTGAAGAGGAAACCGGCCGCCACCGCCGCCAACAACTGGAGGGTTAATGCCTGGAAGAAGACATACATATTTCATTTCTTTTGTCTGTTTTTATACTGTTTTTTTATTGCCTCTTTAGGCAGACAAGCATATGGCTGTTGGTCAGTGGTTACCGTCGCCCATGGATTTAAGCAATACCAGAGGCACAGGCAAGTCGCTGCCTACCGCTTCATACTCTCTACAAGCCTCGTTTGAAGAAGGACATGTCATGGCGCTCGGGAAACACCGCGGAGGGGTGGGGGCTCATTCCAAAGCCGGATGGTACGTGGCAGAAAAGATCTTTGGAAACGCACTGTGGATGAACGCAGTGGTTCCAGATAGTACTGTATCCCTATACTGCAAAAGCACGTTTTGGTGTATAGAATATGCGTGACCGAAGTGACGTCATTATACAATATAATGAACTATTCGGTATCTTATTCGTTAACAAACTATAATACATTTTTAAGAACAAAAAAATACCTTACATTTCGATAACATTATATATACACACACATATATCTATATATACATATTTGATCATATTGTAATACATTGCGTTTTGCGTGAGAAAGCATTGTAGTCAAAATGGAGTGTCATCAAGAAATTCGCCCACTGAGTTTCTCGCCGGATCTTCTCAGTGGGTCGCGTTTCCGATCCGGTGGTAGTTTCTGCGAAGCACGGCTCTTGCTAGGGTCAGTGTTAGCATCACTCCGGTTCGAGCCCCGTGAGCTCACCTATTAGTTACGCTGAAATAACCTCTCAAGACTATCAGCTTAGGTAGGAAAAAAAAAATTTGATTATAGTTCTTAATATCCACTTTGAAACACAATCCCTTCTAAGTTGTTGGCATGTCACAAATAAATGATCCTTGTGCGTGTGGTCATAGAGTTCAATTTGGTACCTGTAATCCAGCATCACAAGCCGCGCGTGCTCCTGCCACGAAGTAAGCTCTGGCCATGCGGCACTCTAGGGCTCCGCTCAGCGACACTAGTGCACGCTCGGCCTCCCCGGTACCGGCGCCCAGGGCTCCGAGGGCTGGCTGCAGACCTGTTTCGTGAGATCAGAGGGTATTTTAGTAAATTATTATTAATGAATAATAAGCTATTAAAATATAGGGTGTTTTAATAAATTAGTATTAATTAATAATAATTTATTAAAACACCTTACGATTTACCTTAGATTTATTTAATTAAATAGTTATTATTAATTATTCGGACATTGTGGTAATTGAATCGACATCACCTCCAACAGATGACGCGTTAGTCATAGCGCCCGACGATAGAATTAGTAAATAATACTTGTAATGATTGCAAAATTACACAGACAAAAGCAAAAAACAAAAAATTTTTGCAATCGATAGCAGATCAAACAAATATTTGTGGATTTTCGACTTCACGCTACGAAAGTACACAACGCTATGAAATCCAAAGAGGGCTGCGCTTCCCGCGTACTTGCTGGCGACACCTGTCGGTAAAAGTTGGAACTGCATTTGCTGTCTGTAACTAATTACCAGGTCATAAAATCCCTTAAAAAAAAAGCTATGATTCGTTTTAGCAACAACGTCAGGTTTGAGCCCCGTGAGCTCACCTACACGTCAAGCAGAAGCTGAAAAAGCCTCTCAAGGCTATCAGCACATAGGTAGGGGGAAAAAAGGCCTGGTGGGATTACCGGGGTCGTTGAAGAGCTGCGGGGCGCCCCGGGTCAGCACGGCCAGCGCCTGCCGCACCGCCACCACGGCGCGCTGGGCGTTCCGCAGCTCAGCCGTCAGGACGTTCTCGCGGGACACCTTGCACGACAGGTAGTAGTGGACCATCTGGAACATTCACAGAGGGGCGTACAGCACGAGACACCCAAGCGTTTCCGATCCGATGGTAGATTTTGAGATTTTGTGGTCGTCGTGGCCTGAAGGATAAGACGTCCGGTGCATTCGTGTTGAGCGATGCACTGATGTTCGAATCCCGCAGGCGAGTACCAATTTTTCTAATGAAATAAGTACTCGACAAACGTTCACGATTGACTTCCACGGTGAAGGAATAATATCGTGTAATAAAAATCAAACTTAACTAATTACTGGTGGTAGGACCTCATGTAAGTCCGCACGGGTCGTTACCACCACCCTGCCTATTTCTGCCGTGAAGCAGTAATGCGTTTCGGTGTGGTGGGGCAGCCGCTGTAACTACACTGAGACCTTAGAACGTATATTTCAAGATGGGTGACGTATTTAAGTCATAGACATATTGAAGTCTATGAGCTCCAGTAACAACTTAACACCAGGTGGGCTGTGAGCTCGTCCACCCATCCAAGCAATAAAAAAAAGAGCTGTACAGCACGCGACACCTCTGCGCTTCCGATCCAGCGGTAGATTCTGCAAAGCACTGCTCTTGCTAGGGTTAGGTGTTAGCAACGTGAGCTCACCTACTCGCTAGGTTACGCTGGCATAGCATCCAAGGCTACCAGATAAGATAGGAGAATAAAAGCAGTATGAGAGTACGCTCACAGAGACAACATAAGGAATAACATAACAAATTGAAGAGCAGGTTAGCTACGTATGGACATGTGATGCGTAGAGGAGATACATGTGACTAGGGCTGTATGGAAATGGTAGTGCAAGGTAAGAGGTCGACCGAAGAAGACATTGGTGGAGTGTGTGAATGAGGATATGAGTGCGTGAGTGAAGTGAGTGTTCAACTGACGTCTGATAGAAGAGAATGGGAGAGAAGACTCAGCTGTGCCGACCACACCTAGTGGGATAAGGTCAAGGTAAAGTAGAAGAGAGTGCACTCACGTCGGGCGAGAGGCGGTGCGGCGCGTGGTGCGCGAGCGCGGCGGCGGGGTCGAGGCACGCGTCCGCCGCCGACACCGCGCCCGCCGCCAGCAGCGCCGCGCCCGCCCAGCACGACACCAGCCCGCCCAGCGCGCACACCTGCGCACGTACGCACACCATTATACTTGTCGGAGACTCTCATTACAGATGCATAAAAAACACATAAAAAGAAACAAAATCAGGCTTGTAACATAAGCTATGTGCGCACGACTTAACAAGCCAAAGTGCTGAATGTGTACACAACGTTCCTTACAACAAAACAACACGATAACGAAAACTAACCTAACTTATAATATAAGGAAAAAAATATATTCACAATATACAATTAAACAATTACACTACTTAACCTATAGTGGTCCCGCAGTAGTCGAAATTCGACTATAATTAATTAAAATTATAAGTTTGTACACTATTATGATTCTATTGTCAAAGACTACACTTTAGACAAATATTCTTAAAAACAAACAATATTTAATCTACATATTCTCAATTTGACCACAGACTGTAAGCAATAAGAAAAGTTAGACAATAAACAAATAGTATGCATGCGTGTGTGTGTCAAATAAAATACATGATGTGTGCAGTGTGTGATGTTTTTTTTTTATTGATTTAATGTATTTTTATGCATAATTTAAAAAAATATTAACATTCTGCACTCTCTCTCTATATTCTCTATAAGTGTGAGAAATTTCATACTCCTTCGTGCGCGCAATTTTCGTAAAAAGGAATTCAAAGTTTTTGCTTCACGTATTAATATATAGATTACGTAGTTAGCTTAACAAAACAACACCGTCGTTTCCGAAGGCCCAATGTTCCGGTTACGGTACTCACGCAGAGGAGCAGCAGGGCTCTCCGGGAGCGCCGGGCCGCGGCCGCCAGCAGCGCCACGCAGACCGCGCCGCCGCAGCACCAGCCCGCCATGCCGCCGCCCCAGCGAGCCGCCTCCCACACCCACAGCCGCTGACAACCGAACGGTACGTGGCATCAGAAACAACAGTCTCTAGAGAAAATAGCGGACTTTTTGGCCGGAACGCGAGGAGTGGCAGAAGTCGAATGGTTTTAAAATATTACGGTTTTACATAACAATAAAACCGATATTATGTGCCGAGAAGGAAAACATACAGCATTGTATTATGAAGAAGCAGTGTGTACTTAGCTTAGATTCCTTGTCTATGTCCAACCATAGACAGTCAATTTAGTTCCATCTTTAGCCGCTAGGTGCTGCCAGCAAGTATAAAGGGAGCGCAGCCATCTTTGATCTTCNATTTCAGCGATTCTAAACGATAAGATTTTTTCATAAAGAGAGTTAATTATAAAAAATATTAAAATTACTAAAAAAGCCACCTGGTGGGGGGTAGGGAGACTAATAATCGACAGCAGCGACGCCTGCTGTCCTGGGCTCTAACTAAAGCAAAAATAAAAATGAGAGTTGCGCATCTATCTCAAATATATTAAGTGTATAATCTATGATGTGCAGCGATCCTGGACTTAGGACACCTAAGTTAAACAAGACATAGTCCCTTAATAAAATCAAACTTTGCAATGTGGGTAGTAAATTAATTTTTTTTTTGTGTGTGTGTTAAATTTACCGTTCATACCGGAGTAGGACGACCTATTGAAATAAACTATCAAACAGTGGTAGTCTTTCCCTACCTTATCGTTGGTAGCAGCGCTGTCAGATGTACAGTTGTTACAATCGCAATACGAAAGTCATACGGCTAACATACTACTTTTTAAAACCTAGCTGTCTTTTATTTAAATGTATAAAAATTCTAGTTTATACGATATTTAGAAACATTTACAGTAGGTAACAGTTTATAGTTAATAAATACAGTTAGAGAACGAACGAACTCACTTCGGAAACATCTAAGTGTATAATCTATGGTCTACATAAATGCATAAGTTCACTTACTTTTTGGCGGGAACGCGAGGAGTGAAGTTGTGTGATTTGTTTTATTTTGTCTATTTAGTGTTTCTTCGGGTTTAAATGTGTAATAATGGTGGTTTATTAACCGTTTAATATCTGTGAAAGTGCACAAATGTGGGAAAATGAAACAAAGCCGCTGGACGTAACTTCTCGGGATCCTCCAAAAAGTGAACTGAAAAATCTTAGTAAATGACCACCATTTTACTGAGATTAGATTTCATCTCATATCATCTCATTTAATTTCATCCTAGTTGATTAATGTCTCAAATTAATCATTTTCATTTCATTTCACTCCATAATATAATTTTTCATAAAATTAAGAATATAGATTAAAATAAGACATGACTTAAAGGTCTCAGTTACCAGGTCATAAAATCTCTTAAAAAAAAAAAATTAGTTCACTTGGTAGTCTGTGGAAGGATGATATTTTATATTTGGTTGGAGACTTTTTGCGATATGATTTAAATGACCCTATTTTATCAAAATTACTGCTTACTGCCCACAAATCTATCTGACTCATACAGAAATAAGATCCCATCCCTACAGCCTTTGATGATATTGGTCCCTCGAATTGTAGGCAATGAGAATGAGATGCAAAAAAATTGATAATGAATCGCGAAATCTGCCAAATATAATAAATAAAAAGATTAATTTGACAACAAGCCCTGATAAGTTTTGGGACGATGTTAATAGACATTTTGAAGAGTATAAGTCGATATCCCAATTTTCACTAAAATTAGAAATAGTTTATCCAAAGAAAGTATCAATGGTACCTTGCTGGCCAAACAAAATGTTTTAAATTAAGCAGGTAATGGTGCTAATTTTAAACCAAATAAAGAAATGATGGCTAAAATGACAATCAATGTATTGTATAAAAAGCATATGTAATTATGTATAATAAAAAATATTTTTGATGTGTACTATTGTTTTTATTCAAAACTACGATATGTACTACTTTTTTATTGGTGGTATACTATTATCTTAATTTTACATCTGACAGCCCTGGTTGGTAATCTAAGGGGCTATTCGAACTTCACGCGGACCGATAGGTGAGCTCACGGGCTCACCCTGACTTCCGTGAAGCAGTAATGCGTTTCGGTTTGAAGGGTGGGGCAGCAGCGTTGTAACTATACTGAGACCTTAGAACTCGTATCTCAAGGTGGGTGGCGCGTTTATGTTGTAGATGTCTATGGGCTCCAGTAACCACTTAGCACCAGGTGGGCTGTGAGCTCGTCCACCCATCTAAGCAATAAATAAATAAATGTTTGAGCGATACTGACTTGGTTTTTAACGGTGTTGACGAGGGCGGCCAGCTGGTTCCCGGCTTGGATGCTCTGCAGCATGGCGTTGTGGAGGTCGTCGTTACCGAAGAGACCAACTCCGATCGCACCGCAACACAACACCGATAGGAACATCAGAGTTATCTGCGAAGAAACGAAACCTTCTAGAACAAACATTATTTATTTACCATCATTCGAACGCGATGGGAAATTTCCTGTAATCAAATTGCAATCTTAAACTTATCGAGCTAAAGCTTTTTATCGATTCAAATAACTATTTTTAAGAAATAATAATCCTACAGTTGCCCTCTGAGAACAAATAAAAAACTACCTTTAACAACATTGGAGTAAATGTAAAAACATAGTCTTCAGTTCTGAAAGTTCAAAATTAAATAAAAACCACTATCCAATCACTGTGATTATGAGAGATTTATGTTAAATCTTGTTCTTTCACGTCAAGATAAACAACATTTATTATTATCTTTTTCTTGACCCCAAATGACGTCACGTAATGAGGTTAAGTTCAGTTTAGGTATGAAAAGTTTGCAAGACAATTCTAAATAAACTAGAGGTCCCGCAGTAGTCGAAATTCGACTATAATTAATTGGAATTGTAAGTTTGTACACTATAATGATTGTATTTTATACTTCTATAATCACAAATTTCGCCAAGACTACACTATAAAAAATATTAACAAAGACAAACAATATTTAATCTATTCTCAATTTGACAACAGACGTCAAGAGCAAAAGTTTGACAATAAATAGTATGCATGCGTGTGTGCGTCAAATACATGGTATGTAGTGTGTGTGATGTTTTCTTTATTGATTTAATGTATCTTTTATGCATTATTTTAAAAAAATATTAGCATTGTGCACTTCTTCTCTATATTCTCTATAAGTGTGGAAAATTTCATACTACTCCATCCGCCCAATTTTCGTAAAAAGGGATACAAAGTTTTTGCTTCACGTATTAATATATAGATATGACGTGATCCGCCAGGGCCCAGAAACTGCGATACTTTAAGACAAATATTTTGTTTATATGGAAACTAGCGACATCTTGTAGCGCATGCCCCTAAACTTATATGTTGATAAAGTTAAGGCATTTAATTACTGTATAACTAAACACAGAAAATAAATAACTAATAAATCATACAAGTCTTTACTTGTGATAGACAAATTGATTAAATTTTATCTATTTGTGGTTTCTGAAAACTTACAAAATCCTTCATTGAAAATAAAATATAGGATAGATAAATAATATGTTACAGCCATCTACAGGAGCAATGAGAAACTAATCGAAGCGAAGCCATCTAGTGCCCGACGCCCGTAAACATTTTTCTTGAATGCTTGAGTTGCTTATCTATAACTAATTGATGTGTATTATCTATGTGAACCGCATTGACCCTGCTCAAAGTGAAGTACACAACGATTTGATGTCAGTCAATCGTAAAAGAGACATTCTCAATTTGAGTGTCTTTTTTTTTATAGAGCACATGTTCGATCGTCATTCGTGTGAGAATAGCCCTGATTAGCTTCGCAGTTGTTTCTATATTTAGTGTCGGTTAATGCCCACAGGGTTACTTACTGATGGTTTTAACACGCACACACGTAATTGGTGATTAATATTATTCTGATCGTTTAATTGCCTTGGCTTTATTGACCATTAACTCTTTTTTTTTTTTATTGCTTAGATGGTTGGACGAGCTCACAGCCCACCTGGTGTAAAGTGGTTACTGGAGCCCATAGACATCTACAACGTAAATGCGCCACCCATCTTGAGATATAAGTTCTAAGATCTCGGTATAGTTACAACGGCTGCCCCACCCTTCAAACCGAAACGCATTACTGCTTCACGGCAGAAATAGGCAGGGTGGTGGTACCTACCCGCACGGACTCACAAGAGGTCCTACCACCAGTAAAAATTCGTCTTTACGCATTAAAAGTGTACAATTTCCAAAAATTATCGAAATTGAATTAATATGCGGAATCATTTGGTATCACCAGTATTTTTCTCATAAATACTGTCAAAAGAGCGTAATTTAGTTTTAGTTTTTTTTAGTTTACTGATATTTTGACTACTATTAAGAAAATGAATACATAATTTTATCTTAATTTAAAAGACAGATAATGTAACTGGTAAAAACTAAAAAATAAATGTTGCAAAGATGATTAATATTAAAAATATCATATGTTAAACCTTTAAAACACTCTCCTGTAAAATTTTGTAATATTTCAGATTATACAGTTTTAATGCGAGAAGACGAATTGAGCAGGTACATTGCGTTACAATTCTTATTTTCTTTCACTCTGGAGAGATGACATCTCATTGTAGAGCGAATACAGAACCGCTTACAAAACGGTTAATGGGCTGCCACTGAACATCGTTCCTCTCCGAACCTACTATGAAATTCTAGAAAGATCCACCTCAACACCGCCACAAATCCTTCTTCAAACCTACGAAGAGAGCATCTCAGAGTAGGCAGAAGCCTGGTATTCCCAATGCCAATACCTATAGCTGATGGTAACTACTTTTATATCGCCGTAAAAAACAGGCGATTCACCTAAGGACAACTGGTTACCGTTGCGTATTGATATCAAGCAATAAGGTCACAAACTTGTAGGCAGCGGCTTGGCTCTGCCCTTGGCATTGCTGAAGTCCATGGGCGACGGTAACCACTCACCATCAGGTGGGCCGTATGCTCGTCTGCCTACAAGGGCAATAAAAAAAAAAAAAAAATAGCTACTGCTAACTCGCGCTTGTTTACCATATTCCCAATGACCAATAATTGAGTAAATCAACTTGTACCAAACAAGATTTTTCTAAACTAGTAGCAAAAATTCTCCATTAAATTGACTGGTATGATTCACTTCAATAACACAGACGTCTCATCCCGACGGGCGTGTGACGCGATAATTACCTTCAGAGCTGTGATACTCTTGGGCGGTCGTTGTTTCCTGTCGCAGCATCTAGTCAGCAGATAAATCAACAGCACGAGCAGAGTCAGTATAAGCCAAGCGCCGGGTATAGAACCGATAATTCCCAGGCTCTGAAAACGCAAAAGGTGTAAGTACATAAATTGATCTTTTTATTTATTCATTTCGAATTAAGACAAGTAATTGACGAGACACAACAGTATAGGACCTTATGAACCAAGATTTCGACAGGATAATACCTATTATCCTGAATGAAATCGTTAAGACAAGCTGGCGATCACAACTTTTTTATTTTTTATTGCTTAGATTGGTGGACGAGCTCACAGCCCACCTGGTGTTAAGTGGTTACTGGAGCCCATAGACATCTACAACGTAAATACGCCACCCACCTTGAGATATAAGTTCTAAGGTTTCAAGTATAGTTACAACGGCTGCCCCACCCTTCAAACCGAAACGCATTACTGCTGCACGGCAGAAATAGGCAGGTACCTGCCCCCGCGGACTCACAAGAGGTCCTACCACCAGTAAAAAATTCCTGACTTACGAGTCAAGTACATATTTCGTTAGAAAATTTTCTACCTGCCGATAGGAATTCAACACCGGCATGGTCCTATCCCTCGATACGAGTAAACCGGGCCAAAACTTCTACATAGGTACCAAATATAATTTATATGTAAGCATGACTTGTAGCGACATTCATTCACAGGGAACAGAGCCTCGTGCGTGATCATTTCAATGGACGTTCCATTCATTCGTACATATGTGTCGCATCTTGTTCGTAGCCAGCTGTTTATTTGAACTCAACATTCCTTTACGTCATACGTTGCAAGATGCCGATCAAAATAGACGATATTAGGGCGATCCTGTTTTTTTTTATGCACAGGGTACTACTCTTTTCCTATATCTTTACAAATTTCATCTCATTTCTTACTTCTCTTCACACTTCACTGCCACTTCACAAAAGCCAGTTTATTAGCTACCGTTGCTGTCCATGAATGACTGTGGCTACTTCCATCAAGGAGACCATATGATCTCATAAAAAGGGCGTTTTCGTGTAGAAACTATCTGCTTCGACATTTTATTGTGGCTTTAACAAATTGTGCATAATAATGCAATAATGTAATAATATAACAAAAATCAAACCCGCAAAATTATAATTTGCGTAATTACTGGTAGTAGGACGTCTTGTGAGTCCGCGCGGGTAGGTACCACCGCCTGTCTATTTCTACCGTGAAGCAGTAATGCGTTTCGGTTTGAAGGGTGGGGTAGCCGTAGTAACTGTACTGAGACCTCAGAACTTAAATCTCAAGGTGCATGGCGCATTAACGTTGTAGATGTCTATGGGCTCCGGTAACCGCTTAACACCAGGTGGCCTGTGAGCTCATCATCAGCCTGTATCTCTCCACTGCTGGACGTAGGCTTCTCCCATAGTCCGCCACAATGAACGATCCTCCGCTTTCCACATCCAATCTTTCCCAGCATATCGCCGCAAGTCATCGGTCCAACGGGCAAGGCTGTGAGCTCGTCCACCCATAATTCGTCGCGGACCCGAGGCTTTTTTTTTATTGCTTCGATGGGTGGACGACCTCACAGCCCACCTGGTGTTAAGTGGTTACTGGTGCCCACAGACATCTACAACGTAAATGCGTCACCCACCTTCAGATATAAGTTGTAAGGTCTCAGCATAGATACAACGGCTGCCCCACCCATCAAACGGAAACGCATTACTGCTTCACGGCAGAAATAGGCAGGGCGGTGGTACCTACCCGTGCGGACTCACAAGAGGTCCTACCACCAGTAAAGGTGCGGTGACAGAACCCACCTCGAGGTAAACTGGCGAGTCTGGAGCGAAGGTGTCGTTGACACGGTGCAGGGTCACGTTGATGTGCGGCACCGCGTGCAGCAGCCGCGAGAGACGCGGAGGCGTGTACTCGTCAGAGCCGCCCGACGCGCCCATCGCGACCTCACACACTCACCACCTGGCCAACAGAACCATCACTCTCAAAACTAAAGACGAATACCAACTAATTGATAGCGCGTATTACATATCGAGGGGTGAAAGGCGAATTGTTTTAAGGGCCATTTTTGCGACTTTACAGGAGCGCCATTTGAAGTTTTAATTTTGGCCTGGCCAACAGATCCTCACACTAAAGACAGATACCAACTAATTGATAGCGCGTATTAGACATTGAGGGGTAAAAGGCGAATTATTTTAAGGGCCATTTTTGCGCCTTTACAGGAGCGCCATTTGAAGTTTAAATTTTGGCCTAGCCAACAGACCCTCAAACTAAAGACGGATGGTAACTAATTGATAGCGCGTATTACATATCGAGAGGTGAAAGGCGAATTGTTTTAAGGGCCATTTTTGCGACTTTACAGGAGCGCCATTTGAAGTTTAAATTTTGGCCTAGCCAACAGACCCTCAAACTAAAGACGGATAGCAACTAATTGAAAGCGCGTATTACATATCGAGGGGTGAAAGGCGAATTGTTTTAAGGGCCATTTTTGCGACTTTACAGGAGCGCCATTTGAAGTTTAAATTTTGGCCTGGCCAACAGATCCTCACACTAAAGACGGTTGGTAACTAATTGATAGCGCGTATTACATATCGAGGGGTGAATGGCGAATTGTTTTTAGGGCAATTTTTGCGACTTTACATGAGCGCCATTGTTGCGTTGTGGTAAATGAGAGTGGACTGTATTTATTTGTTTTGATATCTTTATTAGTCCATAGGTGACAAATTAAAGATATATGATTAAATGAAATATGAAATCAATGTGTCGCCCTTGGCGGCTGGAATTGAAAAGGGGAAAAGTGTCATAGCGGACGTCGCTCGTTGACACTTTTGACGTTCCGAATTCAAACAGCCATTTAAAGTTTATATTTTGGAAAATACATAACACCGATATAACAAATCGGAAGGGAACAATGATACCATCATCTCGTTTTTACCATCGGACTGCCTGCCACCGGAATAGTGTTCATCCATACCACGGAATCGTGATCCATACTACCTGAAGTCACTGCAGTCTTTCACAGTGTGTTTCCAGAGGTATTTTTTGCCACGTACCATCAAGAATGTTTTCGAATATTCCCATACTTATAGAAATGTAGACTTGTCGCCTTACGCACCAAGCGAAAAGTTTTGACTGCGGCATCAGGGAATATATTTTTTTTTTTTTATTTTTATTGCTTTGATGTGTGGACGATCTCACAGCCCACCTGGTGTTAAGTGGTTACTGGAGCCCATAGACATCTACAACGTAAATGCGCCACACACCTTGAGATATAGTCGCGTGTGGGGCTTTTAAGTCGCACAACGCAGTCAATGTGTTAAGCCAAATAGCCTTTCAGCCCTCGATATCATCTTATAATAGCAAACTGATAAAATATTAAAGCTTCGTCATAAATATACAGGAACGCCGAGAAACCTCAATGCGATTCGACTCTAACACAGCCTATATAGCTAGCCTAGCAGTCCGTATATACTCATTAAAAAAACACGTGTGGCACTCGGTAACTGTCGCGGTAAAGCTATTGCATAGCATTTTTTATCAACTTATGCAATTATAATTAGACAATAATAATTTAATATTAAAACAATATTAATAAAATAAGACCACGCTATATTTATAAACATTAACAGAAGCAAAACATTAACTGTCCCCTTCACATTCATAAGCTAGACCGCGCGAGAGAGAGATGGGCAGACTTTTCATGATACGCATGCAGTGCGACGTCACGCCGCGCGCTTATTTACAAACACTCCACAAGCGCAACGTGTGAATGTGTTGAACGCGAGCTACACGGTAGGCGGAGTGGAGGGGTGTTAGATTTTATTTTCGTTACGGAATTTCTTAATTCGATCGCCGCGCTCAAAGCCCGCGATAAAAGCTATGCAATCGCTTAAAAATTATGATGTAAGTAATTTTTATGTAAAACTTACCAAATTTAAACGTACAGTATACTTTTCTTACGAGGCCATGACTTGCACTACCGCGTTATGTTTCGGCTGCACATCTGTAACAATACAAACAAGAAACGTAAATATATTGATATTTAATACCTTGATTTCCAATAGGATGGATGGATGGATGACAAACAGCGATGTGGTATAAAATAATTGACGATTATCATCTTTCAGCGCCCATCGTGGAGAGCTTTTAGATTAGAGACTAGCACGGCTATGCAGGTAGACGGGAAATAACACCTATCCTTCGAATTATACTTGTTAGAACGATTGCGACGACCGTGACGTGATATTACACTTTTCCTGACAAATGTCGTCATCAGGAACTAAACCAAATTTCTTGGTGGATCCTGTAAGAGACGCAATAATTTGTTTGGTTTAAAAATGTGAAATAAAAGAACTTAATAATTATTTTGAGAATGTAAAGAAAACACCGCTTTTATACCGCTTATCTTTGTTTTAATACCAACCGATTTCTAAGGAGAGTTCAGATAAAACAAGCGTCCAGAAAAGAACAAGAATCACGTACATATACGACGGCTCTCAAATGAAAAAAGAGAATAAAGCATTTCTTGGAAACACAGACATCGTTCACTTAGCACTAATCTTGAAAAAAAGATCTTCAAAACCGGACAATTCCTAATACGGGGCTTGATACCGTCGACGTATGTCGTTCAAGAGTTTTTAGAAATGAAAGTACACAACACAATAACTAATACAACGCCTTAAAACCCAAAACCATTAAAGATGGCGATAAAAATTATAGACATTCCGTGATCAATCCATTCGTTTTTTTATATATTTTTTTTGTCTTTTAAGGCCATTCTCACATTTACAGAGAAAGCGTTGATCCAATGACGTACGCTGAGAACAATAAATATTAAAAACACAGTTACGAAGAATTATCTTTCTAAAACTATACATCGATATAAACTATATATTATTCGTCGACCACTCTCCATCATTTGGTATAATAAGATTGACAATAGCTCCATCATTTGATCCCAGCTCTTTTAATATTCTTTCATAAGATCGGGAGTTCTATCTAGATACAGCAAAGATTATCTTTATCTTCATTTTAAATGTGCTGTAATCATTTTAGTCCTCTAATCCTTTAAAACTCTGTCAAAAGTAACTGATCGGTCGGACTATTCAGAATTTATTTTAAGGCTCATCTCACCTCAACTTACTAAAACACTATTTCAAAAAAATTTAATTAACCTCAAAACAATAGATTAACTTGAGTATTTGCAAGTTATTGCAAGTTATTGCAAGGAAATTTCCGGAAACGATGACAATATTATAATACTTTGGACCAAAATAAGGTTTAAAAAAAGGCCATTTTAAATTTTGGTCAGATTGCGGTTTTTTTTTTTCTTAGATGGGTGGACGATCTTACAGCGCACCTGGTGTTAAATGGTTACTGGAGCCCATAGATATCTACAACGTAAATGCCGCCACCCACTTTGAAATATGAGTTCTAGGGTCTCAGTATAGTTACAACAGCTGCCCCACCCTTCAAACCCAAACGCATTACTGCTTCACGGCTCAAATAAAATAAGATTTTAAGTTTTTTGACCTCCTAAATATCCAAAATTAAAATATTCAAATATTCAAAGTACATAATTGAAAAAAAAATGCAAAATTTGAGGGCATAGTGCATATTTGGAGCCACACTGAACGAACGATCATGGATACACTTTAGATATATATATATTTTACTACAATACTAAGGAATCTAAATGGGACACAAAAAAATTTGGGAAGCCCTGAAAAAATACTAACAGAACATTACAAATTAGTTTACTAAAACAAATATGTACCACACAAGCGACGCAATTAACGCCAGCTCCTGGGCATATAAATTATCTGACGTTTTAATTTATTTACTCGCATTACTTCGATAAATACTTGTCGTAACTTGAACCTAAGAAACGAGATGGTCTGTTTAATAATTATTTTTTCCGTCAGCGTCAAGACATATGTATGTATGTAGACATGAGTGTTGGAATATTTTTATGCCTATTTCTGTTGCAAAGCCATCGCATTATTGTGTTTTGTATTTAAGGTAAGATCACCGCTGATGTTACTTGATATTTGGTTATAGGCCAGAGATTATAAAATGATAATAATCTATCTATAAACAATGTATCCTTTTAGAAGTCTTTATCATCCAATGGATGAGAAGTTCCGTTTAATCGTATAGAGAAACACCACCTTTTTTCCCTACCTTGTCGCTGGTAAGGTTACTTACACGCGGACGGGTATTCGAGTTCAAGGGTTCAACCTTAGAGAGTTTGCTAACACTAGCCTTAGCAGGAAGAAGCAGTGCTTCGCAGAATCTATTTTTGCATTGCTGAAATCCATGGGCGACGCTAACCACTGACCATCAGGTGGGCCGTAATCGTATTTTAAGCCAGAACGAGTGTCTTACCGTTATCTTGCCCTTTCACAAAGATTATTGCTGGAAGTGTTGGATAGAATAGAAGAATGCTTTTTTGAATACATAAGGAACAAAAAAGTACATAGATACTCCTAAAATATCTTTAACAAAAAGGTCTGAGATTCGAACGCCCGATTGTAGTCAGGTTCAATAACAGCCAGTCTAAAGAAGAGCTCGAAATTAGAAGACTCGTAATTAGAGAATTGATGATCACGTATGAAACAGTTTGAAAAACATTTTTTAAAATTCCGTAATTAATCCTTAAAACAAAAGCGTCCACAACTTCTTTACTAATTGATTTAAATCACCATCACTCAAGATGCACACAAAAGCCGAAGGGCCGAAGTCAATTGCCCTCATTACTTCACTTAACTTTTAAGACAATGGCACTCGAATCTTTTGATGTGACGCCTTAACGCCGCGGTATTGAGTAATCTGTATTAAAACTCATCTTTGAAAGCCGACAAGCACTTATTAATCTTGTTCAATCTTGAAGCCTGACTTGGTCGGTGTACGTTTTTATTTATTGCTTAGATCGGTGGACGAGCTCACAGCCCACCTGGTGTTAAGTGGTTACTGGAGCCCATAGACATCTACAATGTAAATGCGCCACCCACCATGAGATATAAGTTCTAAGATCTCAGTATAGTTACAACGGCTGCCCCACCCTTCAAACCGAAACGCATTACTGCTTCACGGCAAAAACAGGCAGGGCGGTGGTCCAACTAAAGTGAGTTTCAATAGTGTAGCAGGTAAATTAACGGCCGTCTGGTATAGTCTGGTAGCGGTAAGTGACATGGTCACTACACAGGGGGGTCGCGGGTTCGAATCCCGCCAAGGGAAAATATTTATATGATAAATATAAAATGTTTTTTCCAGGATTATGGATGTATATTAAATATATGTATATGTATAATAAAAATCTTACATTTATTTTCGTTATCTGGTAAATGTAACACAAGTTCTTTACGAACTTAGCACGGGACCAGTTAACGTGGCGTGATTGTTAGTAAATATTTATATATTTATTAATTTTACGAATATTTTCTCATCTTTCTGTATCAACGCGTGTTTATATATAATTGGGCCGTGGAAACATAATAGCTTTGATACGATCGATCCAGCCTGCTATTGCCTAGAAGCAATCTTGCGTTCTCCTTCGTGAAGCAAAATATTGTAATGCAAATGAAGTTTCGATTAAATATCCAATGTTAGTCATGGCATCCAGGGTCCGCTCTACCCTAGTAGAAGATCACACCGAACCGGCCTCATACAAACATGAGGATAACTACAAAAAAACATCCCATGCTAATTAAAAATCAATGTCACTCTTCAGAAGAGCCGCTACCGAATCGAGATAATTAACATAAATACTTTGCGAAACAACACTTCAATCAAACTATAATAGCAATCATAACTTGAGTAGATTAACATTTCCCTAGAGGGGTGTTAGAATTAAAAACATTTATATAATGTAATATTTCCCTATTTCTTCCAACTAAAATTAAATCTTAAAACTGTGAGATAAGCGGCAATTTATCGGATTAAAAAAACCGGGCCTGAAACTAGTTTTACGACAAACCATATTGACCTGTGAATTCATTTGATACATGAATGAAAGACATCTGTTATATGGAAACCATGATTTTGTTTGTGCTATTAGAATATTTTTTGCACACCTAAAACAAAAAAGAGAGCGCTGACCTGGAAAGTGTCTGGCAAGAGAAAGAGAGGCCGCCCCAAAACAACTTGGCGTCGCTCGGTGGAGCAGGAGCTCGGGGTCTTGGGCATGACGTGGGAGGAGCTAGAACAGACTGCCCAAGACCGATGTAAATGAAAAAATTTGATTCGAGACCTACACCCCAGCACAGAAGGTAATAGGAAAGAATGATGATGATGATGAAATCCAAAATACATACAGCCTAACCCCTCGACACAAACAAATTAAAAAATGGTCTAATAATAAAGGAAATACCGTGCGCTACCGCCGTTTTAATGAAAAAGTATCACATAGTATATTTTAAACATAGGTATTGTGAAAGCTATAGACAGAAATGTTGGAGTCTCACGCATCAACTTGTACGGAACGAACGAACAAGCTCCACGCCTTTAAAATCTGTCCGATCCACATTACTACAACCGAGGAGTACATCTGATTTCTAATACCAAACGACTTGCTATATATACAAGATAATACGAGGTACATATGTGTTACAATATTGTTGTAGGACCTCTTGGGAGTCCGCACGGGTAGGTACCACCACCCCGCCTATTTCCGCCGTGAAGCAGTAATGCGTTTCGGTTCGAAGGGTGGGGTAGCCGTTGTAACTATACTGAGACCTTAGAACTTATATCTCATGGTGGGTGGCGCATTTACGTTGTAGATGTCTATGGGCTCCAGTAACCACTTAACACCAGGTGGGCTGTGNTTGAAGTTTAAATTTTGGCCTAGCCAACAGACCCTCAAACTAAAGACGGATAGCAACTAATTGAAAGCGCGTATTACATATCGAGGGGTGAAAGGCGAATTGTTTTAAGGGCCATTTTTGCGCCTTTACAGGAGCGCCATTTGAAGTTTAAATTTTGGCCTAGCCAACAGACCCTCAA